CAGTGTACGACGAGTACGCGGTTCTTACAGCTGACAATGATGATGATGATGATGATGATGCTTCACTGTGCAGTGGACTTCCAGCAAATCTCTAATCGGGTACAAACCCATAAAAACCACACTCTAAGACTCTGACTGACAATCACGGTAGTATGAGTAATTTGCAGACACCAGACGCCACTCATCCCTCAAACACGATTTCCATCCAGGGACCATATCATCATCATCATCATCATCATCATCATCATCATCATCATCGACAGCATGACACCAGTCTTCAACATCGACGTTTACTTTCCTTAATTGAAGGCCTGTCAGTTAATTCATCTCGAATACTTGTGATATAAATTCCCTTATGACTTAATTGATTCTGATAGTGGAGTGTAGAGTTTTTGGAATAGCAATAAGTGTTTCATTTTGTACATGATACCCGTTTACCCTGAAAAGCCTGGAAACGCCGTGCAGTCGTTAATTGTGCCAGTAATTTGGTCAAGAGGCACGGCATTGACAATTTCATGAACCTTTGTTAATGGCATAGTTCCCATCCATGTCATGATTTGACTACTACACTTTGGATTAATTTTGAGTGTTGATTTGAAAAACTGGGAAAGCTAAAAACGTTTCGTTCCCACATGACTTTGAGTGCATTTCTGTAGACACCTCGAAAGACAGTGTTCATTCATCCAAAAGTCTCTCTCGTAGCCGAAGAGATCGTCAAGACTAAACACAACTGATAGTTTAACGTCGGATAAACAGAAGAATGCCTTAAATTTACCATAAAAACGAATAAGAACTGACGCACTCCATCTTATTCCAGGGATTCTGTTGAACGCTGTCCCTTTGACTTCATGAACAAGGCTATGGTCTTCTACGATCATCCGCAGTTTTCTCAATACCCCCCCCCCAAATCTACAGGAGTTAGTCTGAATAAAATTTGAAAATTTGCAAACTTTACAAATGTCCAAATTTTTTTCATCCAGGAGGCAGTTGGTGCCTATACCAGCGCAATTCGAGAAGCCAAGGAGCATCAGCTAACCGACTACTTGGATGCTAACGAGACGATTGCAATGGCGACAGACACTTTGTATGAGTACAATAAGACTGAGAACCATTTTGGAAATAAGGTTGAAAGTGCAAAAGAAAAGCGTGAGGAGCTGGACCGGCTGGCTGAATACAGACGACGGGTGAAAGAGGTACGATATGTGAGATAGTTCAGTCCTTTTTAAGAGTGAATTAAGGTGCTCAAGGTGATAAGCTCACTAATAAAAGCGCAAATGAACTTTGAAAGGGTTTATGTTTATGCTGACGTTGAATATGGATTTGCAACCGGCACTTCGTATTCACTTTCTGTGAGTTACCAGGCTGCAATTAGTTGATTGGACAGCTTATCAATGTAAGCCTTAAAGGGTTATTTACGAACAAAAATATCTTTTAATCCGGAGGAACACACTGATAACTGGATACATCAGCATCAAAAGCATCGCCCGCCCCGCTGTACAGATTGCTCCAGTGGGCAGGGGAATTGCAGTTCTGCTTAAATAACTAACAAAATAGTGCTTGAAAAGGTGCATTTTACATAGCGATCTCACTACTCTAATATGGTGGCATATAAGTGCAATACTCTCCACGGCGTTACCATTTCACACCGCTGGTTGGCTGATTATTCTTCTCTACCCCAGTATGGCCGGTGGTGCTTTCTGCCCCCGCTCTATGGCATTGGTATTGTTTCAAATGCGGCTGTGTATCTAATCATCTCTTCAAATCACTCATTCAGCTAAACTTTTGAATAGGTTGGTGACAGCTTTCAGGCCTACCCTCACCGTCCCACACTAATTGGCTCTATGCATTCTATTCGATCTACTTTCATTTTTCTTTCATATAAACCCCCAAATATTTTCTCCAAATTGCTTCAAACTGACGCTTTGCTACCGCCGTGTTATTGCTTACTCTTTAAAAGACCTCGCACAGCGTCCTTTTGACTGTCAGCCTGAGTTCTGACACCAGCTCTATCGAATACCAAAGACTGCACTTTTCCTCTACTTTGATTTGGATTGTTCAAACTAAGGAAACCTTAGCAAGGCTGTAAGAAACCCACAGCACTCTAATTATTCTTAGGGCTTTGTATGTAGGTTAACACATTGTTGTATGTTCTCAGTCGGCTTCTACTGCTCTCCTGCGTTTTTCCAACAGGCCTCAGTGACCTTTTACAGGATTTGTAGTATTTTCATTTGCATACCTAAGAGTTGTCTGTTAACTAAGTTCTCATCTGACTGTTCACAATTTTCAATAAGGGTTTCATCCCATAAGCGAAGCTAGTCTGTGTTGAACAACTGGGAAGCACAGAAGCTATGAACTGCACAGATATATCATCCTCTTTAGGCATTATCAGGAGTGAGCATCTCACAAAACTCAGAGAGCTTGGAACTTTGGCTTTCCGGCCAGTGGTTAAATAATTAACTGTTTGACCATCACCTGTTGATCAGTGGTGTGATTAGCTCTCACTACAAACACCTTTAAAGATTTGGATGCACAAACTTATCTGTATAGATTGTCAGCCATTCAGTTTCTATTCGAAACTAGCACACAAAACAATTTCTTGGAGTTACTTGAATTCAGGTAGATTCCCGGTTTTCCAACCAAGTGCTGTCATCTGTTTGGGCAGAATAAACCAAAGAGTTAACAATTCAATGAAAGGAATGTGTAAACTACCAATCTTGGAACACGGTTTGACAATGGGTGAAAAGTTCTTCAAGTTCGAGACGTGAAACTGCGCGGGGTTTGTGAAACCACGCTAAATTGTGATGAGGGAGTCGCTTTTTCGGGTATGTGATAAGTCAAATATTCGCCACTTCTGCCTGGCCGCGGCTTGATGTGGGGCATCGAATAACCACAGCTTCATCCTACTGAATGAGTGTCTTCGTGTTTGAGAACTGAATATCCGGAATGAGTCTTTTGTCCGAGTGCAGACAGTTGCATCGCCAATGTACTCCGAGTTTTTGGTCTTGAACGTTACTAGCCTATCTGAATAGTAACTCAGGCCGTACTTTTTTGTGGGATGAATCGACAAGGGTCTTTCTATTCTACAAACTGTGTACTTCTACGCGCAAACACAAGTACATATTCACTATGAGGTGGACAGAACAGATGGACTGTCCTCATAGGTGGTAGTGGTATTCTTGCAGTTCTGGCCAAACACACTAGGTCATTTTCAGGAGAAGTGCGCTTTACCGAACTCTGCCGTCAACTGCTTCAGCGGTGGTATACATTAATCCCTTTGAATTCTAAGCGGATATGCACACAAACTCTCCTCACGATAGGACCAGTATTTATTGAAGAAACTACCAGGGCATCATTTCTCTTCACGCCCTCCAACATACATGCTGAGTGCCAGTTTATAGGGTATATAAGCAAAATACCCTGTGCTACAGTATGCATATCAAGATCTTTTAGTAACTGAAAGAAGCAAAACTTTCGAGGTGAATGAGGCATTCCTAGATTCATGGGTGTAGAGTTGATACTCTGATTATATGGCCTCTGAGTCTCTGCTACAGAGAGCATGCTGGAAAGCAGCTTGCTGACTGATCTCTGATTCGGTTTTAAACTTGATGTTGGGTGCAGTGTGGATGAATAGCTGTAAGAACCACACGCGTGTCTTACAGTGGTTCTAGCTGTCGCAGTTTCGTTAACCAATAATTTGGGGGTGGGGTGGGTTAGGCAGCTGCGCATTGGTGCATAAATACAAGACTGTCAGTGAACTTTTCAGTGGGGATATTGGAAAGGGAGCTATGCATTGGAGGATGCACGAGCGCCATTGAGGGCGCGACTGTGCCATATCTGACAATGTCTCTAACCACTGATGTGGCCCGTCTCGGGTTCTTCATCCAGGAAAAAAGCAGTGACCAGTGCAGCTGAGTTTGTTGGTAATGGCTACTGTACTTCATTACCTAGACATTGTTTGACCGCCTCTAGCTCGTTTCTACCCTTCATGTGATTGTGCGAAAAGAACCCCGCGAAGAAGTCGGCCGACTGGCTCACGGAGCACGTGGCCAAGCCAACGAAATCTATACCTTGTGACCAGTTCTTTTATCGTGAATGACTCATTTTTTCCGAAAAAAGTTCGACGTACTTCAGCATTGCTTATCCGGTGCTCTCATCAGACTCGGGCAACACTTCGGATAGCTTCGTGTAAGAAAAACGTACCTTTTTACGTCAACTACTGTCATTTTACTAGGGTTTATTTGTTTCCTAGATTAGCCATGAATATGTATACAAGAAACAGACCTAGAAAGTTATCTTGTTTGGTCCCTTTATTTTCCTCTACAATTTACTATTAAATATGGGATACACGTCTCAGTATACAGTTGTAGGCCATTACGCAGTAATTTTATGATTGCCGAGCGCTCCATATAACCGATTGTAAGTAATCGTTGTAACATGTCATTCAGGAACAGCACTTACAGGTTACAGTTTTGTTCGGGTTTACAAAATGGATGTCTGAAGATTCTCCTTATTCCACTTGCATCAGTGGTTATTGACCCTGGGATTGCAAAATTGTTAGGGGTGCAAGACAACTGATCCTAAGTTGTTTTTAACGGATTAAAAATGCTCCTTAAACTCACGCCTTTTAGGGCTTTCGATTGTGAACAAAATGTGATCTTGGCGCTCCTCTCCAGAATTTGGTACCTCCCGGTCCAAAAGCCGATTCCGGTTCTACTTCTACCGGGATATTTAAACCACTGTGCGTTTCAGGAAAAACGGTATCCCAAATGTGGTACGCTGTCAACAAGCAAACGAAACTAAGTTTATTCATGTGACCACCGCAAACTATTGTACGTAGTTATCAGCTTATCGATCGTCACCACTGCCTCGGCTACGCGTTAGTCTCTAAGATAGCAAGTAACTATAGTGAATCGGCTATTGTGAACGGTTGGAATTCATTTTGCCCTCACGTCATATTAGCTGGGCTGTTGTGTGGCACTTGGACAGACGGAAGTATGTAGGGTCTAAAGAGGCTCAGTGTCCATCAGCCAGTGGTACCCACACTAATGGGAGTTTCAAACTTTCTCTACCGAAATTCTGCTGTGATTCCTCCGCATCAAATAGCAGTTTTTTTTAATTCAACCTGAGAAGTAGTACATTGGTATAATTGCTTCAAGCTCATCCAGTCTTCTCGCAGTCAAACCACCTATCATCAGCTAGAGCCAAATCGTGCAAATCCAAACCGAGCGTCTGTCGGGCACATTTTGGCCGGGTTTATAAAGAGCGAGGATAGCTGCCTCTTGGTTGAGGTCGTATCTGTGAAAGCCTTAACCAGCTACGATTTCGTGCTGATCCGATGAAATGTGAGCACCATGATTACGCACGTGACTCAAAGTTTGCTTCTTAAGATCCCTAGCATTAAGGCTTTTTATATATTATGCCCCCGTTGCCCTCATCCAGTAGCCTTTAAACCCTGCCACGATTATTTAGGTCTTTTTGGCTAGTTACAAATATAGAATTTGAAGTAGACACTTTACTGGAAAAATAATGAGCGTTAAAACTATTGTATAAATGGGTTAAGTAGTTCGGTACTTCACTTCATACGGTACTTCAATTTGTACGGGAGACTAACCTGATTCCCATATGAGTCACTCGTTCTTCAAATGAATGCACTTGTTTTTTTTTTTTTTAATTCAACCTGAGAAGTAGTACATTGGTATAATTGCTTCAAGCTCATCCAGTCTTCTCGCAGTCAAACCACCTATCATCAGCTAGAGCCAAATCGTGCAAATCCAAACCGAGCGTCTGTCGGGCACATTTTGGCCGGGTTTATAAAGAGCGAGGATAGCTGCCTCTTGGTTGAGGTCGTATCTGTGAAAGCCTTAACCAGCTACGATTTCGTGCTGATCCGATGAAATGTGAGCACCATGATTACGCACGTGACTCAAAGTTTGCTTCTTAAGATCCCTAGCATTAAGGCTTTTTATATATTATGCCCCCGTTGCCCTCATCCAGTAGCCTTTAAACCCTGCCACGATTATTTAGGTCTTTTTGGCTAGTTACAAATATAGAATTTGAAGTAGACACTTTACTGGAAAAATAATGAGCGTTAAAACTATTGTATAAATGGGTTAAGTAGTTCGGTACTTCACTTCATACGGTACTTCAATTTGTACGGGAGACTAACCTGATTCCCATATGAGTCACTCGTTCTTCAAATGAATGCACTTGACTGGGACGCCTCATGGTTTAACTGTAACCATATTCCAGTATCGCAGTACACTGTATATACGTAATACACTACTCATAAGGTGGCGATATCTCGAATGTCGTAGCATCTGAGTCACGAGGCTGCCTGGTGCAGAAAACTCAGTTGAAGAACAACACAAACGAGATATTAGGCTGGTATTCACAGCATTCACCCGTGGAAATCCATTTTGAGTGCAAGTGAGAGTATCTTGAGAAATTTGGGTTTGTCTTGAGCAGACTAAGCTGATGGAGATATGTATCTCTAAGGTTCCGTGTCTCTGTATACCAATATTAAGGAAATTTACGGTATTCACCAACTGTCTCAAGTGCGCCATTGATTAGTTGGTATCAAGTAGTATCTCACTGACGAACTTAAGCGGTAACACAAAAGTGTGACCTTGAAATCTCCGAATCTGGATGCAAGTATTTCGTCTCTGCTTGTCACTCATAGAAACACACTGCACCGTCCCTAACCTAAGATTCGTTTCGATTGTGGCGTAGCTTTATGCACTCTAGAATGTAGTGTTTTCTGCACGCCTACTCCGTTAACCCTGAGACCAGTGATGTCAGCGCTGTAATACTTACTTTTTCGTCTCAAAAGCAGGCGGTTCATTTCACATCGAAATAGTAATGTAATTAGTGTGAGGAGATTTGATATTTTTGTGGAAATTTCGTCCTGTAAGTGGAGCCAACCTATGCTGAAAAGCCGAGAAGCTCTGTACAACTGTTTCACTCTAATCGGAATTCATCAGCAGTGCGCATCTCACGAAACTCCGGAGTCTCGAACCCATGACCTCCTGGCTAGTAGTTTGAACACTTAACCGTTCGGCCACGGGCGGCTGATCAGCAGTGTGATCAACTCGCACTTAAACAGGATGTAGCGCCGCTCATTCTTCAATCACGGGATCTACATCACGCGGTCACACGTGTTGACTGGCTCCTCAAGCAACGATTCCCAATAAGGATGAAACAGCTGTACAGTGCCTTTCGCTTTTCAGCATAAATTGGCTTCACTTCTAGGACGAAATCTCCACGAAATTGTGATGTTGTAGGATGCGATCCCACGGGCAGCTGACAACAACCCCCAACTTGTACATTGGGTCGTCCCAAATCTTCTCAGGACCATGCACTTCAGTCGCATCCCGAATGACTACGCGGCTCACATTACTGAAAACGAGTCCCCTAGGCGAATGTCAGTTAAAGAAAAGAACGTAGTCCAAAATATATCTTCTGACCAAACTTATAGTTTATATTTCAGTTTCCAACTTGGGCGAAATGTATCTTAGAAGTGCTAAGGGGTACTTCGGATAAACCGCAGTCATAAAAATGTTTATATACGCTAAGGTGTGAATGAAAAGCAAGTGGAATTATGCAACTGATATTTTCGCACTTTTTGTCAGTAGGTTCGTCCTACCGTAGTCCAATAGTATCTAATACTGTGGCTTAGCCATTCACATGCAGATGCCCAAAGCTTACGGTGAACTAAAACTGAATTCACCAAGTGGGTCTCTACACAGTTGAAAGTTTGGTATCATTTTGTTCGAAGATACAGTGACTGCACGTTACAGCTACGCCATATGAAAGTTTTGATACATTAGGAGCAAAGCTGCTATTTTTTCAGTCTACTCTATTCAAGATATAAAGGATGGAGAGTAACAGTCACAGCGTTCATGAAATCCGAACAAAGCTAACGAAGAAAAAGCAGCAGTGTAAATGCACGTCTTCCGTTTCTCCTTTGAATCACTGTAAGGTTAAACTGCGTTCCGTTAGCAACACAAAAAGAACAGAAGTCTTATCCACTTGGGGTCGATAGCTCGTCAATATGAAGCAACACGTTTTCAGCGTGGAAAAAGTCCAGACGCACTGAAATCACTGAAGATGCCCGCTTGCTCCACTTCTGAATGAGAAGACTCAGAGGACCGATTCAACCAACTCTTGATTATCATCTCTGGTAATTTGCTCCTCTCCATTCTCTGTGCTGTACATCTTCTGAAACGCAACAAAATTTCAAACTCTGCGATTTTCCACGACATATGACCTGCATATGTTATGGCAACGAACAAAGGCTGACATATTTGGTGAAAAATCCATGTTGAAATGGAGCCAAAGGTGGGAACCTGGAGAGAGGACCACGTTTGAGTGTGATTTAGACGTTTTCACTGCCAACAGCTTATTTTGGTGTTGACTAACTTTCTTCAGCTATAACTACCGTTTTGAAATTACGAACAGTATTTTGAGATATGTTCGAACACCAGATGACCATAATAGCAATATGCGTGGAATGTACTTTCTTATTGAAAAATATACACAAGTTAAATTTTGGGAAAAAATGGAATTGTCCCAAGATCACATGAGCGCAAACTTACATGTATGGGGGAAATTTGTTGGCAAGGTTGAGATTTGAGCATGTGAGTGTAAGGTAAGCCCATAAATCTAGAGTTTCCTGATTCACGCTTAAACAATATTTCTGTAAATCGAAGTTCTTATCTACTGCGGTTCGCCGGACAGATTTGTGCTTTTGAGTACTGTGAAATGATAACAATAGTCGGTCAGGCACAACACCCTTTCGGTGTTTAACTGCCACTCGGAGGAAGGATAAGGACTGAGATACCAAAGCTTAGACAGGATCATTCGAGATGCCCATTTGGAGTTCGGGGAGACGGACTTTCCAGTGAGAAAATTTGCCCCACAACCACTGAGCTATCCCGATTTTTGAAAAGTTTTATCAACAAACGCCTTCGTACTTTGCATCGTAGACCCCAAACACCGTTGCGATCATTCACAACTGTGCTGGAGCTTACAGCCTACCAAATTTAAACATAAATAGGCAGTCTGTTTAGGGTGGAATCCAGCTGAAGCCTCCGAATATAAAAATTCACACTTCTACGCAATAGGTATCTCAGTATTCTCACCACATGTGCATCAATTTACTGTAAGCAAAACTTTATTTCTACTTTACTTTTAAGGAAGAACTTGAGGAGGAGCGTGAGCTCGAGAGACGAAATGCGGAAGCATGGAAAAAGGAAAAGGATAGAATTGCAGCAGAACAGCTGGAAAAGAAAAGAAGAGTTCGGGAAGGTATTATGGTATGTATGGAATCCTATTATGACAGAAGAAAAGAAACACTGTCTACCACTGATGACTTACTGTCCATGTTGTTTGCTACTGTATTCCGCGTGCTGCGTTGATTTTACGTTAAACTCCGTTTTTACACTCCAATCATCGGTCAAATATTGTCTCCCAGTTAGGATAGAAATAGCGCACAAATTACTTTCTTTTCTAGTATAATAATTTCATCAGGGGTAGCTGCGAAAGTTTTTGAAAATGTTCTGAAAATTTTTTTAAACAGCGCAAAAAGTTGTAGCTTGATTTTATTCACTTTGAAAAGATAGATAACTAAACAGTAGCACCGTGAAATAGGTTTTTCAACAGGTTAAATGCATTCAGTTTCAAGTCACTACGTCACGCTGACTATCACTGGAGACTTTGAATAGCCACTTAGTGCCTTGTGACATCGTTTTGACATCTTTTGTTGTCCTCGGCAGGTCTGTCACACGGTATGACTTGTTATTCCTCGACATATGTCGCCGTGCAGCTGCGGTTTGAATAGGTACAAGTTCAGGAGTGATGTATGCATAACATTTTAAATGCCCCAAGACTTGCACACCCCAGAAGTATAGCTTGTGGAACTAACAGGTGTATTAAACGCATTGTCCTTCAATATCTGAGCAAATTCTACAAATATCTCACCACACTGCTGGACGATGGGCCTCGCGCTGAGCCTTCTTCGGGTTTGTTTTATGTCGGTTTTTAACAGCAAATTTGGTAAGTGACTCGTAGGTGTCACCTTCGAAGCAAGTGGTTTCATAACATGTACATTGTCCATCCTTATAGGAAAAAGAGAGAGAAATTGAGAAAACGAATTACGCGTTGAACCTTATCTTCATTCTGGACTGACTTGTATGAATAACCAGTTGAAAGTGTGGTAATAGACTAAGGAAATCAACTTCTACCTGGACGAGCTTTCATACTGCGGTCTGAAATTAGTTGGTCTCAATACGCAGAAGAGCTGAGGAAAGTTGTTTCGTTCTTGATTGGAGTTCTTTGCACCATGGATCTCATAAGACCCGAAAACATGTTAATTCGCGGTATTTCTCAGGCTAAGCCCGATAGACTCAGAGGTAGAATAAGGACTCGCATTCGAGCGGGGGAATCCTTCCAAGCAGCACACAAATCAGCATATAAGTGGTTGTATAATAAACCTTCTCTAGTTGGCCAATGTTAGGCAGTCAGCTGTGGTTCAAAATTTTAGTTGAAATATAAATAGCGTATTTCAGATGCGGGACGCTACTGTTACGCCATAATAGTGAGATTTAAGATAAAGACGGTGCGTGTGGAGCACGGTGACTGTTGTCGGATTTGAGACCATTTATTATCACAATTACCCTTTCAGAATTGTGGTGGTAACACATAGACAGGACACCAGTAAACAATACGCATCCTGTGGGGCAGTCACATGACGTTACGGGTTTATCGGTACCACATGGATCATTTGTTGACGGAATGACGGACATGCACTGAGCGACTAGAGTTGGTCAGTCTTGACACCACATAACTTCACGGTGCACTTGTTAGGGGTGTCATGAAACATTCAAAGCAAAAAACTGAGGGCACCGCTACCCTGTGGCCTGGTTTTAGGACTTCATACAAAGGAATGTGCGATAAACCACTGTCGGTACAGTTTGAATCCTTTCCATTGTCAATGAGGCGCTATGACCTGGAGCAACTGTGTCTGGTTACGCCAAATTTAGTGTTAACCGAATAATTTGCATCAGCTTGAATGTTTTTGACTAGTAATCAGTATCTTAAAGCTGCTGCTGCTACTGATGATAATGATAATGGGTAATCAACATTACATTGATGCAAATCTCACCCAAAGTGCTGTCTTGAACAGACGTAGTCCACTATTTATAAATGAGAGATTCAGCTGGGTTCCTGGTGAGATTCCCGTCAAAACTAAATTGAGTGTATTTGTAACCACGGTACTTCCGACTTTTTCCAGCAGCTGTTTTCGCTCTGTTTGTTAATAAATGGGACTCCTGTTTCTTGGTGGACAGAGCCATTATAGTGTGGTATTTCTGAAGTGAACCCCTTCGTCTGCCATTATTTTACTGCTTTGATCCATCGCTTCTTGTCCGGTCATTAAACGTCTTTTCACCTATGTCAACGCATGAAGTTGCGAATTCCCACGCGTAATAATGATCTGCTGGCTGCACGGCTGCGATGAAAACAACTTAATATTGTCACATTCTTTTTTCCCACCAATTTAATTAGCTTACCAGCTACACTGGCATACATACACCTGAAACTAAATTTCTTCGAGGGCGTCCGAGGTTTCACCGACCGAGTGATTTTTTATGAAATCCTTCGAAACCTAACCATTAAGCGCAAAATTTAGTACGACTTTTATTTTATCTATTGATCACTTGTTTGCTAGTGTTTTTGTACCCGATCTGCTAATCACAGGAACACATGGAGAAAAGAAGGCAGATTTTGGCCGAAGAAGCTCGTAAACAACGGGAAGAGGATGAACAAATAAAGCGTTACCAAAAACAACGGGACGCTCGAGTGGAAACTGAGCGCAAAGCCATGTTGACTGAATATGCAGACTTTCTTGATTTTTTTGTAAAATGCGAACCCAAAAGTGAGGGTAGGTTACAAATTTCATGTGACCATTCATAAACAGGGAAGGTGTAAGGATGGCAGTGTTGAAATCCAAGTACATTCTACTTTCTGCATAATGCACTGATAGGGAGGAAGGCTGATGAATCATTGTGCTTTCTGTTCATTACAATGATGTCATGTCGTGCTCCAACTTGTTGGGTCATGCACGGTGGCTTTACTCAACGGAAACTGTTGAGAATAGGCATAAGCTGAAAGTTATAATGTAAAACCGAATGCCAAGGATTATCAGTCTTGGTAGAACCTGGCAACAAGAATATCAGTGGATTAGGTGTCAGGTTAAAGAGTCTCCGATTCTAAACAAAAAAGCGCGTCGCATCTGTATTTTAGGTACCCTCACAAAGAACTACTAACTTCCCAGTAGTCAGAAACCACATTTACTCCACTGTTGGATTTATTCAATAAAGAGTTGACTCCTAGTTTCCAACAAGAACAGTATTTGGTGGCTGAAACGGAGGACTGATTTAAGGCAGATCTTGTGAGGAAACAATTAGGTAGTTTGTTACGTGTGGAATGACTGGTCCAAGAACCGGTGGTCGGGGACATCTGCGAGCAATATACAAAGCCTGAAAAACTCGTCAACAGCTTCTGCATCCATGTTCTTACAGACAAAATTTTATGCAAACCGGCTGGGCAAAATATCGCTTGTCTTAACTCCACATTAAACAGCTATACTCAACAAAATGAGATATCGTGAATCTCCTTGCTCCATACTTGAGCTTTATTGCTCTGCGGTTCATATTGAGAATACGCCATACAACGAATAAAGCTGTACTCGTCCCACGGCCGAAACAATATTCTTGTTAAGTCCAGTGGAGAGCCATTTGCCAAAATTAGTTTGTCCGCACCGCTTAAAACTTTAATGTGATAGTTTGCCAAAAAAATCGGAAACCAGTACACATCATTTTCATTAAGGAGAGGTCTGCGACAAAACCGACCACATTTGTTCGCTCTATTGCTCGCAGATTATATTGATCTCATTAGTTGGCTGGTGAAAATTGCTTGCTTGATGATCTTAGGGACAAAGTCTGTGATACTTTTCTCTGAGTTCTCGCTTTCCTTGATAAAAATTTATATATCGGACATACTTAACAAAGCCTACTTGACAGCCGAAACACTTCGGTATACCTGGCGGTTTATCTCCGGTAATGTTAGATACGCATTAATTACAAGTGAAAGTTAACCATGGTGTTTTCAGAGTGGCTAATGCGTGACTGGCGGTCACTGAGTTTGCCAGCATTGAATTCCCTAGTAGAAGACAAATCACGTTCACATATAGCTGGGCCGGAATTTTAATAAATGGAACATATTCGTAATTCGAGGGTCCACATTATTCCAGAGGTGGATATTACAGTTGATTAGCATTCACCGAACGGTTGTGCTACTTGAGTTACCAACGCCCTCGTCAATATCACGCATCATTATTCTTCGCTATATCTGTACTAATACTAAATTGAACGCAAATCCCTTTGTTTGGTACACTTTTAATTCTCAGAAATTCGAACTGAGAACTCATAGCAGTGCATTTAGAGGGACACACGCGAGCACGCTGAAAATGTGGTAAAACTATAAGCCCGTCATACGGCACTGTCCAGAAGAATGCAGTTAGTTTGACTCCAGGTCACGCGCCTCTGTACCTTTGAAATCGATATTCAGCGTTGGCGAGTGTCTAGAAAATACTTCGGCACTTTTCATACTGACCACCAGTTCTGATGTTTTATTATACTACTTAGCCTCTTTGTACCCTTTGCAACCTGATACGTTACACAAGTTTTCAAGCAGACTGAGATTGAGACTACAGTCTGCACATTCAACTGACTTTACGCAACGCAACTTACGTCTGAATTTGATAAAGCAAATAATGTGTATAGGGGTGTTGTCTTATCAAGTTATTCAGCTTTCGTCCGAGCTCTGGGAGTACGTGCATTTGCACCAGGATGAAGGCCTCTGACCATTTGGTTTGTTATTCATTTAACCGTTTCACAAATTGGAAAGCTTATGAGCTCGACAATGCGCGCACTACGCTGTGCAGAATGATACCTTATGTAACCTAAAATGTTTGGAGGACTTAAAAACCCGGAATTCTGACAGAGTGCTGCTAACATTGACTTGATTGTTCGTTCAGTTACAAGGCTGCATCATCTTCAAATAATCGGATGCAAGAAATTATGGAAGCACGCTTGTTATAATAAAATAACATTCGTTCAATGGAAGCAAAATCCTTGTAAAACGTGGCCAGTCATTCCGCCTAGCACTACTCAGACTCAGTTCTCAAAACCACTGAGTTTGGTATCGCGATAGACAAGGAAGTTTGAGGTTTGCGCCGGAAACTGGAAGAGTCTGATATGCAGTTCAATCAGTTGACTTAATTTCTGCATTTGCCTAAGCAGACAGTTGATGTATGCCAGAGACTCGCCAAAGAATCTTCCTCCTACTGGACAGCTACTTTCTTGGCAGTTAAATCAAGTCGATGAATACTTGTTATATGAGTTTCACATCAAAATCGCCTCACTCTTTGCTGGCTTATTTCTCACTGCTCACTTTTACCATACCGCCTAACGAAGTTAACGTTGTATTTAATATTGAAACAGGATTGTTTGCTTATTTTTGCAGTTGGAAATGATCAGAAGCAGTAACGAATCATAAACTAACGCGCAAATCTGGTAATCAGTGGGGGAAACGATCAAATTTGTTACGCATATGTTCAACCTGGAATGCGAATCTTATTTATTCAATCAAGACTTACCGTACATACAACGATAGCCAATATACACTGGGAGATGTAACCGATTGCGGTGATCGACACTCAGCTAAAGGATCACGCAAGGAAATAAAGCCTGGAAAACAATCTGTTTTGCTGATTTCTCATCGAGAAATATACCTGGCTTTTGAAGTCCTACAAAATGTCACCAGTATAACAGGGAGGTGGGGTGGTGTATTTTGGCTTGGATAAGTGCACTCAGAATGGCGAATTACCCCGTTAATATTGTTTTGAGTCGCAGACTGAACGAGAAACGTGGTTTTAAGGAATGAATGTGAGTAACAATTGCACTGAAGCCTTTTTCAGCATCTGGTTGCAAGACCGGTCAAACAGTCACCTCAGAGAGATCTACGCCGTAAAACGTGTCATGCGTGCTTGCTTTCTATTGCATCATAATATGAGGTTCACTTTTGTTTTTTAATTTTTTTAGTTAAGCTGTTGTTGTGCTACCGAGTTCATCCAATATACTCCTGAGAGAAACCCAGAGAACCAAATGTATAATTGGTAAGAGACAAGCAAAGACGAATTAACCGGAAAGGGAGTGAGTTCATTGATGTAAATACAGAAAAATTACGTCAGAATTTTGTACGAGAGGGACTGAAAAATCTCATATGAATCGCAGTTGTTGGGAGCAACTCTATGAAGCGTCAAAGGGAATCCGTCGGGAATTTTCTGTGCCTCATTATAGACTCCCAATAATTAGATTCTTTCACCGGGCCTTGGTCATCCTAATTATTAATGACGGCAAATACTCCCAACTTTCTGACGGAGTGAGTATGTTACACTTATTCGGCTTCTCCTGAAACCCGGTCAAAAACTGGTGGACTGCCTTGTCGGTGAGTCAGTATCGAGTTTATCAATTTAATAGTGGGTTTTGCTGATAGCCAAACAGCAGCTTCGTCAAATGTGGTCTTATCCGCTAAGTAGACAGAGTCAGTCTTTTCATGCATTTGACATTCGGATCGCCATTCTCTTGGGTAGCGACATTCAAGTGTGGAACTCGAATGCTTGGTTGTGATTAAACTAATAAGGATGGAGTCCTCGGTAAAGAGTGAAAATAAAGGGGACTGACGAGGATTCATAGCAGAAGCCCTATGTTCCTGAAGAAGAGGAGCAGAATAGCTTTTCTATGCAAATCTCAACCGTTGAAATAAGCGCATCTGAACATCAGAGTAATGCTCAGCGTCATCTGTGGAGTAGCCAGTAAGACATTTCATTCGTTCAAATGGGTTCCCATAGCCCAACAGAGTGCAAGCTTCGAGCCTTCTTGTTAGTAATTTGCCTTTTACTGTTAAACAGTCCTTTAAAAGTAACAATTTTGGTTGTACATCCCACATTCCCGTTTTCCGATGATCAAAACTGTAGCAGCTGGAACTAGTGTCTTTGGTGCGCGGTTTATAGCTGATAAATTGTTTGACTGATTAATTGATTTTTGAATGATTTTTAACATAGACAACTCATCCGATTTCCAAGTTCAACCAGGATAAAAATATAAAGCTCCTAAATGCGCTGCTGTTCACTATTAACGTAACGATCTTAACCTGGTGGGTGAGAGTGAGGGATCCGTTGGCTTTCTGCGATCGTATTGATTACCAAGCTTACTCATCTCTTGACTCGACCATGTGTGACTAAATTTGGAGGAACAGGACCGTCTGTAGATGGGAGCACTAATGGACAGACTAATGACTAAAGAAATAACCTGTATTGGCAAACATGTGCGCAAATTTAATAGGAAACCAGGAAATGATAAGCCACTGCAATCCGGTAATCTACAGTTAGAGTACCACATATTTGCTTTCACGCTGTTTCATTGCCCTATATTTTAATCGTTCCTCGACTGATTACTTTTTCGCTTGCAGTAGTCCATTCTTAAGGCACTACCAAACTGTCTGTTTGACAGGCTTGTAGATGAAGGAGAGTGATAGGTTAAGCGTGTACAATGGAGGCTATATTTCCCAAGTTACTTTGTTATCACCATATTCAAAGGTCTTTCGGGCCGGTGTTGGTACATTCCTTTAAGCATTGCTCACCATTTTGGATGAAGTACTCGTTCAGCTTAAATCAAGTAGTTGCCAAACAAAAAATCTCATTCAGTGTGCTCTGAGGAGCTCCAACAACTTTCACTACAAAGAAGGCATGAAGCTGAAAAATTCCAGCACCACAAGCCTGCTCCAATACCTAACTGAGTGGGATGAGTGCACAATTGGTCGTTTAGCACAGCAGACCACAGTTGAGGATTTCACTGCGACCCTGCATATTTGCCTAATGTCTGGTCACTACTGCCATCAGTTGAGGAAAATTTAGGAAACTATTTCATCAAATCTGCATGCCTTAAGTTTTATACCGACCTCTTGGAATATTGTAATTTCGATTGCTATCATCAGGATTTCACAAGTTAGGTCAGAGTGTATATAAGACTTCTTTAATATGTCCACGTTGACAACGATAGCGTACGGCGCCAAAAAAATCAATGTACCCGGCGAAGTACAAATACTTGCAAATTATGTCGGTTTGTTAAGTCAGAAGGTAATCGCTGCTCTGTCTTGGATCTAGGAAAGAGCGTTTATCTGTTATATAGAAGCGCAAAATGAGGTGACAAGTCGTGGCAAACCTTACTGAAACAACCAGTTGACGAAATGCGACCAACCTAACTCAAAGACGCGCATAGATCGTCTACCGTCCTCAGAAGGTTCCATTTGGGACCCGCAAACCACTCAGTAATGTGTAGTATGTGCAAAGGAATTCAGCAACCTGAGTGTACCTGATGTATCAAAGACGGTGCGCTTTCTGTTATTGGCGTTTTTTTACGATAACCCTGTGGTTTCCTCCATTTATTAAATGGAGTGAATGCCAGAAAAATGTAGAACTTACCACTTCTTGTGAAAAATGTATTAATAAGCAAGACGGCGTTAGTACAGGACGTCATATTCTAACCATATCTGGAGGCGCGTCTGTGTCAGTTCGTTTCGGTCCGAATGCAAGATTTCGACGTCGGAGATCCGTTATACCACCAGGTAGACCGTAAACTTGGGACCAGACGAATTATGATACGGAATGCCAAAGAACTAGCAGTAAACAGCAGATATAGGCACTTGGCTGGAAGAGCTACCGTTCTCATCCTCTTGCGATGGCAATCTATCATTTAGGGGAGTCTTTCAGAAGGGTTTGTGCGCATACGTGAAAAGATGAGGATAATTCATGTCCTCTGCGTCAGTATATATTTTGTTTTCACCAGGAGCAGTGGTTTCACTCGTCAGTGACTGATCTTCGCTTTGGGTTACAAGGCAGCTCTGGATGCACAGATGCACATGATTTCTAGTGAAAGCATACGAGCTGATCTCACTCGACTAGTAGACCCGTGGTTACAGACTGAAATTTGAAACTACAAAAGCTGAAGTAGGGGTTGGATAAGCAGGCAGAAAACAACAAACATCAGTCATTTTCATACCAATTTGATTTTGACGAGAGACTCACGTGAAACTCAGCTGGGTCCCTCGTTTACGATGCTTTTAAACAACAGGACTTGCGGCACCAGGCCGCACCATGTTTCACTTCGTACGATGTTTGTAAAAAGGTTGTCAGAAAAAAATCATAAACGAACTATTCGTGCTAATTTAGCTAATTCATGCAATCTGGGTTCAAGCAAAACATGGGGTTGACGGAAACTCGGGGATTGCGCCTACCCAAATGAGCTACAAATAGGACGAAACCGTTCGTTGGCTATCGGACAGTCTTCAACAACCTTATGAGCGGTGTGTTACGCCATACTCTGTAATCCACCCTTGTGTCAGACATGTAAAGTGACTCTTCAGTTAGGTGGAGCGATACTGCTAGAAGTACTGGTATACACGCGAAGACAAAACCATTGCTCCTAAGAGAAATATTTTTAGCGAGTCAGTAGGAGTCAGGAGATTCAGTAGAATGGCTAAGAGTACAAACCACTAGCCGATATGCAGCAGCTTCGCGACTTTCTGGTGCTTTGTGAAGTGCTCACTGCTCATGACTCCTAATTAGGATGAAACATCTACACGATGCTTCTCGATTGTTTAGCACAGATTGCCTTCATTCACAGGACGAAATCCAGATTGTTATATCTGACTCCTGTTCCCACTCCAGTGCCTGGTGCAAATAAGAACTCACTGACAAAAGTACACAACAGCTTTATTCCAAACAAGCGAGTGCGTGCGAATGAAAAAGTTACCGTGACCTCGCACTATTTGAAGGAAACTTCCTGACATTGGTCCGGGCTGCCTGATAGGCGTTTAGTGAACACCCATCAACATCGATTGTGCTTCTATGAGATGCCTGAACGCTCATCAAATTCGGTCGTGCTTCTGTGGAGTGCACTCAGTGGCTCTTGCGGAATTGATTAAATGATTGACTGGCCTGGATACTTGACGGCTTTCTTACTGAGATTTTGGTGGGGGGTTTAGGGTCTCAGTAGGTTCCGGGTGTTTTGGGGTTACATTCAGGAATCTGACCTTCCTGATATATTAAAAAGCTGATTCGGTTCAACATTAATCCAAACGCATAAGCCAATGAATCTCTGCGGTACAGACTAGTGCACTATTTAGCAAAAAGCTAACAACCGCAATTTTTCGGTAGGACCATAAGGTCGAAAGACTAAAAAACAATTAGCCCTCTTTTTAATCAGTTCAAAAAGATTTTACCAGCCTTCCAAAAAGCCGCCGTTTAAGAAATAAACAGTCAAACGATTAAGTCAGTAAGAAGTATAAAGTTGAAGGATTGAAGTATCTCAAATCGGTGTCTCACAGTTGAGGCAAATCAAGTGGGTCGGTTGCATTCTTAAGGTGCGCTGTTACCGCGGACTCAAGTTTTGTCAAAACTTCTCAAGCCAACTGTATGCAGTGGATCCATAGTGGACGTCACTTTTTGCCACTCTGCGAGGTGACCAAATTAATAATAAGGGTTCTAAAACTAGTTGTGAGATTATCAGGCAAGTACACTCAGTTTTTGGTAATTGGTACTATCCTTCTAATGCACCAAGGTATGGAGGCCCCTAACCCAACAGTATGATTCCTACTGAAATGGGGCCGTTCCAACACAACACGAGG